ATTATGTGATTCACCCAATTTAGGCTATATCCACAGGCAAGTATAGAATGATTTTAGTATAGTAAAAAAAATACAATAACCTTCTCTTTACATACGAGGAGATAATAACAATTACTCTCTCTTGTAATAGGAAAAACCTAAGTAGGAAACACTAAGGAGAATTAATATATTTCTCTCTATAATTTTATGTATCTTTCTACTTATTATTTTTCTCTCTACTAACAGTATCACACAAAGACTACAAATTCTCTGAGAATGAAGCTTTACTCAGAGATGGGATACATTTCTCTATAGCAATCATCCCCTATTTATAGGCTAATCTCCTTCAATACATTAATTGAAGAGTAGAAATTTTTAGTGTGAACAATAAGAAAATTGCTGCCTTCTTCTAACTTTTAACAAATTTGCATGCATCATCAAGTAGTAAAATGAGAATAGTGGCTAGTTTTCCTTAGCATTAATTGCCATGTTGATATTGTGGTTAGTTGTGGTCAAATAAAGTGGCTATACCTAACATTTCTCACACTTAAAAGTCATTTTTGTTGTAGCCTTTCTATCATTCTTACACTTATCGTTTCCATGCTATTTAAGTTTTCGCTAGGCCAATGGAGGACCAACACCATATGAACATGTCCTCTGTATAGATTTTCTATATATTCACACTTCCTTTTTCTATCTTTTATTAAAACAAAGTGATATAGAACTCGAACATACTTTGTCTTTGGGTGAAATGCTAGATTTTTTGCATATGAAAGCGCTTTAACTATCACAAAATAGAGCAATTTTACCATGTTTGGGTTTGAGCTTCTCCATTAGAATTTGCAACCAAATTGACTCTTTACTAGCTTGTGTAGCTTCCATGTATTCTTCCTTCATAGTTGAAGTAACCATGATAGACTGTAGTTTTGGAATCCAGCTTACAACTCCTCTGGCAAGAGTAAACACATAACTTGTGGTGGAGTTGCATTTATCAAGATCACTTGCATAATCTGAATCAACATAACCCCTGACAGCAAAGTCTATTCTTCCATAACATAATGTAGCATTTGAGGTACCCTTGACATGTCTCAGGATCCTCTTTACAATATACCAACGCCCTTTTCTAGGATTTATCATGTATCGACTAACCACTCACATTACTTGTGCAATGTCTGGTCTTGTATAAATCATAGCAAACATTAAATTACCCATTATTGATACGTATGGTACTCTAGACATCTTCGTCCTCTCTACTTCGTTGATATAACTTATACTCGAGGATAATTTGAAATTAATAGGGATAGAAATTGGCTTACAATCTTGTATATTGAAGCAATGCAATATTTTTTTTTCAAGTAGTTCTTCTGACCAGTGTTCTAAAAACGTGTCTAAACGTGAAGTACGGGTAAAGTGCTTTTCTTTGGCAGTAAGCACAAAATAAGCGTTTCAACTGTAAGTTAACCATTTAATACCTAGGCGCAATTTATTAAGGGTCTGTTTGATTACAAATATGGAATTTGGGTGGAAAGAAAATGAATTTTAAGGAATTGAATTGCCTAGAAATTGTTTTCCTGGGAATTGTCAACTTATTGTGTTTAATTGGTATAATTTTTCACGTGAAAAATGTTAAAATAAAAGTATTTTTTGGTGTTCGTTTGATTTTATTTTATATGAAAATTGTCGATTAAAGAGATAAAATTTATTGGTATTGAGGATAGAATTTGTTTCCATTGCAAAAAAAAAAAAAACAAAAAACAAAAAATCCAAGAAAATCATCTATCTTTTGGTGTTCGTTTGGTTTTGTTTTACATGAAAATTGTCAATTAAAGAGAAATTTTTTTTTACAATAGTTTTTAGAATTTGTTTCCATTGCCAACCAAAAAAATTTTTTAAAAAAAATTTAAATATTGCTACAGTAACTGGGAAAATGAATTCTCACCATAATTCATTTTCCTCAATTAGATGGAAAATATCTATGTAGCAACAAAAGCAAGAAAACCAATTCCATGAAAAATAAATGGTATCAAACACCATTAATTGAGTAAAAGATGGAAAACTTATTCCATTTTCCGTGGAAAATGATCCAATCAAACACTACCTAATAATTTGTATTTTTTTTATTTTTTCCTTTAAGAAAAGCCTTTTATTTTACTTTATTTTATTAACTTTTTTCTAATTATTTTTTTCTTTTTTAAAAGACTTTTATTTTTCTTTAGATTCAAAATTTTAAATAACTTTATCTGTACCAAAGTCAAAATAACTTTATTCGATAGAGATTTAAATAAGATCTAAGCTATGCTACTATCTATATCATATAATTATGATTTTGAGAATTGACATTTTGTTGAAAACATCGAGAATATGTATAAAATTCCTATAAATCTGATAAGTTGGATTTGTCTAGTTGAAACTATGAAAAATGAAAAATAGTCAAGCTTTTGCTTTTCGAAATCATGAAAATTATGTTCACTATTTGTAAGAATTATTAAGTAAATACAGTATCTTATAATTTTAGATGTTTGATATGAATTACTTTAATTATTAAATGATGTTTAGGATGATCAAGTATTTAAAATAATAATAATAAGAATCAGTAACGCTTTTTTTTTTTTTTTTAATGCCTAAACCTCACACCTAGGCTCGTAAAGCTTGAATCTTGTTTGTCGATCCCAAGTCCTCACACTGTCTCTGACAAAGTTAAATTTTCCCATTATTTCTATCATGGAAAATTTGCATATCTAGAATCTTGTTTGCTAGTCCCTTTATTTCAAAAATGATTTAGGGAATAAATGATTTTGTCACAAAATGTCAAAAAGGTAGATTGTTAAGTCTAAAGTGTATTGACAAGTCTAATGTTCCAAGATATCTTTTAATTGAGCTGTAATTAGAGTCGAGTTGTGGAGGGTCAAGAGTGTCATTGGAAGGAATCAAAGTCATCTCGAGAAGACTAAGTTGCCAAAAATTGTTCGATGTTTGCTAGGGAAGCACTTGAGTGATTTTAGTAGTAAGTTTACCAATCGACGTCAGTGAGGAGAGCGCTCGAGCGATCAACCACCAATCATTGTTCCAAGACTTCCGCTTGAGTGGACGAGTTATTCAACCGAACAATCACAATTTTGACAACTTTTACAATCTCAAACAACCTCAAAATACTTCATATTATAAATACCAAAGGCATAGTTCGTCCCAGACGTGTATTGAGTAATAATTCAATCAAGATAACACCCTTTAAAGATTAAGTAAATATTCCATAAATCCTTGCCTCAACCACAAGATCAAAACACAAAAAGATCTAAAGATCAAACAATGAAAAAATCTTTTACCAAATAACTTTCAGAGTTCCAAAATTTGGGAGAAATGATAGGAGTTCTAATTGGAGAAGAACGAGTTCATTTTTAGCGATCCACGTGGAGGGAAAGGAAGTCGTGAAGTTCTCGAAAGTGTAGGAGGTACCATCGAAGAGTTCTTCTATGATTTACAGGTTAGGTAATTAAAGTCTACTAAGGATTAATTGTGTTTGGATCAACTGTAAACTAAATCTTTTCGGGTGGAACTGTTTGGCAATGTTTGTTCGGAGGTTATTGTTTATTTATTTTTTTTTTTTTTAATCTATGTGAAGAGTTCTTCAAGGAGTTTTTCTTTGTTGACAGATATTATTGTTCTTTACTTTTGCTGCTTTGGTCTGCATTCTTGATTGATTAATTAGGATTAAATTTGATTAAACTTGTTCTACTAGTAATAATAATTAGAGACTTGTAGCTTAGTATTTGTTGTTAATTTTAATTCCGTATTATACATCTATTCACCCCACTTTAGGTGTTAATTGGATCGAAACCTCGATTATTTCAGTGTTCATTTAAAAGGAAAGACAGAGATTCCATCTCTCTCTCTCAAAGTCATAGTTAACCAAAAATCCAGATACACAAACTATAATAGAGGTTTAGCTCTTGTAGAATTTTGAATGGTTATCTAAATAAATATATTGTTCACAACCCAACTCCTCACACCATTACACGGATATTCTGAATCATAATAGATATCGACAATTTAAGTACGAGTAGAACTACAGCGACAAAGTCCAAGTTACATATCAATAAGAAGAAGAATGATTGAGATCATGTTCTTTTTAGTTTTTATGCAAATATAATATCAATTATAGGGATAATTCAATCACAAGGCAACCTTACTTTGCATATGCATGTCATATTAACATCTACATATACCATAATTGCTGAAATATATCTATTTTGCGTTAATCCAAAGAGATGTGAGTTATGTATTTTGTTTTAGCCTACTATCCATACAAAATAACATTCGATATATAAATTAGTATTTCATACGTAAACAACACTTAAGAGAAATATTTTCAAATGGAATTACTTTGTACTCTTTAATAAGTCTCCATTTAAAAAAAAAAAAAGAAAATCGCACACTAGGGAACCTCAATAAATTCATCATGTATACTTAGAGCATGTTTGATGTAAATTTTTTGAGAATAAATTTTGTGAAATGTTATTATTATTATTATTATTTTTTGTGTGAAGAATACATGATTATAAAGTAGAAAAAAAGTTATGGATTTACGCGTAAAATATTTTATTGAAAGAATATATAATTAAAAAATGAGCTTCAAAATTTGTACGAAGCATGGACTTAGAAGTTTAGAAGTTATTTTTCCATCTGCTCGAGCTTAGTTTGACCTCTATGAATCCAATTACCATCCCTTCTTGTAGCGGCTATTATTATCAATTAATGTAAACAAGGCGAAGAAAAACTATTAAAGAGCATAGTGGCTCACTTTTATCCTGGCATTGACAGATCAAGATTTCATAAAATATGAATATTAACATAATTAGCCTTTAACATAACTCCAGGAAGAAATTTATTACGGATTTTCAACGAATTAACTTGATTCAAATATACACTCTCCATCCCATAAAAATATGTTTGCAAAACTTTTTTCATGTGTAAAGACGTGGATACTCCCTTGATTTACCAAAGAAATCGAGCTAACTTATCTACATTTTTTTTTCCCCTCATATTTTCTGTATATCGTATGGGGGTGCGGACCTCGAAAATTCGTTATTGTTTAATAGCCGCTCCTATGATGACGCCGTGTTATTCTAAGCAATGTTGAGTTCCCATCCCTCCATTGATATGCCTTCCGACACCCATGCATTGCCCTCTTCTCTTTCTCCCTCCCCTCAGTTTGTGCCTCACAGAAAGAAAATGAAAATAAAAATGCAAAACCCAATGTCCAACACTACTTTTCTTCTCAAAGAAGCCCCCTGAATTTGTCGAGGAAGAGATTGAAAATCTGGCAAGAAAAATCACACAAAAAGAGGTGATTCGTATGGGAACTCTCTTTGTGACTCGTTTTTCAATTTGCTCTTTCTGGGTACTCGTAATTGTTATTGGACATGATGAAAATAGAAACAAATTCTTATTCTTGCTAATGACAGCTACCTTAATAATTTTCTGTGGTTTCTGAATATTGGGTTTTTGCATTTCATTATTGTAGTTTGATATTTTCTTTTTGTGTTTTGATTGAACTATTTATGTTCTTTATTATATCGTTTCTTTCTTTTTAATTTTTTCCATTTGAAACAGTTGGTTGATAGCTTTAGCCTAATCGATCTGCTAAAACAAATGGGATGATTGAATAGAACTTCAATAATAGTGTAATCCTTTTGGGCAAAATCCAGGAAAGAACTTCGAATTTCGGATAGACGGTAGCACGGAGTTGGTTATCCAACTTGTAGAAATCCATGAGGCCTAAATTTATTCAGACAAATTAATTACTTGAGGGAGGTGAAATTTCTATAGGAAAAAGCTCTGCTTATATGAGGCCTGGTGCTGTAGCTATTTTATTAGACGCATTACTAGTTGGTCTTGTAGAAGTGGACATGGGAAGATAAACGAAGGAGGGTGCCAACTCAATTATCTTTTGAATTTAAAGCTTGTAACTTTATATACAAGATGAGAAAATAATATGCACAAGTTTCTTGCACGCATGGATTCTCATGGAGATTGAGGAAGAAGTTTGAAATTCTGGAAAATACTCTTGCAAAAGGAAATTCATTATTGGTTCAGAGCATGACATATGAACTTTCTAGTACTTCAGGCCGACAAACTAACGCTGCTTCGGCCAATGTTATGCCAAGTGATGAAAACTCTGGAAATAAATGTCCGCGTAATGTATCTGTACAGACCGGGGAAGAATTTTCACCAGAGTTTCTGAAGGATCGTCGAAGAATAAATGTAGTGAATGATCTCGATCAAAGTCCAGCAAATAAAGCATGTTCTGATGTTGTACCGAATCACCATCTTCTGTATGAAGATCTAACAGGAGTTCTTGGAACAAAGAACACAGATTCAGAGGGTCGTACAGAGTTTGCAGGTTTTACTCCTAGTAAAGGATATGGATTAAATGTGGATAATAAGACATATTTGGATGTTACAAGTAGATATTGCCCGGAATACAAGGCCAGTGGACAACAACAAGCAAAGTTCTCGGATGACTTTTACTCTGAAAAAGGTGGTCCCATTCCAGCTGGTCGCACTATTCATGCATCTGACTCCCCTAACGCATTTCAGGCTTATAATCAAGCATCAGGAGTTTCGGACAGTTCCTTTACTGGAAAGATGAAATTCCTCTGCAGCTTTGGTGGAAAAATATTACCTAGACCAAATGATGGGAAACTTAGATATGTTGGCGGGGAGACGAGAATTATATCCATCAGACAGAACCTAACGTATTGTGAGCTTGTAAAAAAAACTACTGCAATTTGCAATCACCCTCATACAATCAAGTACCAGCTTCCCTGTGAAGACCTTGATGCACTTATATCTGTTTCTTCTGATGAAGATCTTCAACATATGATAGAGGAATATCATGATTTAGAGAGAAGTTCACAGAGACTAAGAATATTTCTTGAATCTTCTTTTGATTCCGAGAGCCCATGTTCGTTGGAAGCAAGGACGTTACAACAAAGTGATGTTGATTATCAATATGTTGTAGCAGTTAATGGCATGCTTGATCCAAGTCATAGGAGGAGCTCTAGCAGGGAAAGTAACTTGGATAGTAGTCCAACTCTGCAAAGGGACTCCCCTACTTCACTTCATGTGTTAGAGAAATGGAATGGAGGCAATAACATAAACAACAAGTCGATGTTTCCAATTCCCCATACTCACCTTCCTAATGCACCTGCCCTGTCTGAAGTACCAGGTCAGTTTAAAATCCAAAGTTTTCCTATATAAAAGTCTATAAAGATATTGTGTATCTTAATGACTATTAGTCCACATACAGTGGACAAGCTAGCTTATGACAATTCGTACCATTTTGATGTCACAGGTTATTATAATAATTATCATGTTGATACCATGCAAGTGATCAGTAGCCAGCAGCTGAATAGCCACCTGATAGAATCCAATCCAACTCGTGCAGTGCATTCTCACTTTCGTAGCTGCAGTAAAGATTTTGATTCTTCTTCACTTTATGATCATGGTGGTTTTGACTACAGGAAAAAGTTACATTCTTCTCAAGATACAATTAGTTTGTCTCCTGCCTCTGATGTTCAAGCTACACTTTATCAGAGAATACCTCATTTGCCCCCTGAATCACAAATGAAGAACAAAGAGATGCCTGGTGTCTCTTTAGAAGAAGTTGCAGACACTTCATTGAATCTTGTAACTGAAAAATTGCCCTCCCTTGCAATTTCCAATTTGTTGGGAGGAGGGACAATGCATCAGCAACAGATAGCAGATGAAAAATATCAACTGTCTAGGAATGAGGATCAGTCCTGTATGGAAGTTCCGAATATTAAGGAATATACCGAATACGGTCAAGATACAATGATGTGGTTGGAGGAAGCAGATACTTCTCCAGATCAAGGTAGGAAGAATAATGACATTAGCAATAATTATGTAGCAAACGCAAATGTTGTGGAATGCAAGATTAATTTGCCAAAAATATTGTGTCAACCAGACTCAAACCTCAGTTTTCTTGTCTCATTATCAAAGTCACAAGTCCATGAAGACAATAGTTCTTCTTTACTCACAAACTCTGAGGAAAATTCTAGAAAACATTGGAAAGAGGAAACTGGAACTTACCAAGTAAGTCCAGTTGCTCATGAATTTCTCGTCAAGAACCCAACAAAAATAAAAAATCAGAAGAGCAGTAGCCCTAACAAAATTAACAGTAAAGAAGCCTTGCACAGATTTCATGGGATTAAACCTGTTAGGCCCGAGGGAATGGTTGACCAACCACCAGTTCAAGGATATGAATCTAGTTTTGCTGAGAACTTGATTGTTCCTCTTGTTACTGACTTCTCATTGGTAAAACATACCACAAAAGATGCTTTACATAGAGAGACCTCTGTTCACGAGGGAACACTGTATGATTTCCATCAAAGTGGTGATCCTCCTGGGAGGCTCATAGATGGAACCTCTGTCCATTCTCGACCCCGAGATAATCATCAAGGAAATGGTGAAACAGAATTGCCTCTGATTGTTGAAGATGTAACTGACAATGTGCCTCCCGATGTCCCCTCATCCTCGACAGCTATCCCTCATGTGCAGGATGAAACAATTGATGGGAGCATATCCTGTGGTGAAGAAACACAATCTGAGAGTTTTGTCCCGGAATCTGACTCTGATGTAAGATTCTTTATACATAGTTGTTGATGTTGACGAATAAATTTTACTGGAATAAAGAATACTTGTGCTTGTGTATTGTAGGACGATAAAGTTGTCAAAGATGATAACGGTGAATCCATAAGTGATTCTGCAATTATTGAAATGGAAGCTGGCATATACGGTTTGCAGGTTGACAACCAAATCTTATTTTATGTCTTGTAGTCATCAAGAAAAATATCTAAATTATAATGTGTTTATATTTGACCTATGTATAGCTCCTGTGTATTGTGAATCTGTGATGTCACTTCATTTCCTTAGAAATAAATTAGATATTCATAATTTTGACTGAAGTATTTAGAAAATAATGGCAGATCATAAAAAATGCTGATCTTGAAGATCTACAAGAGTTGGGATCTGGCACATTTGGAACTGTATTTCATGGAAAGTGGAGGGGAACAGATGTTGCCATCAAGAGAATAAAAAAGAGCTGTTTTGCTGGGAGATCATCTGAACAAGAAAAACTGGTTTGTCTCCACCTCGAGTACAGAAAATTATAACTTTTTTATTTGTTTTGGATTGATAAAATTTATATGTCTGTCAAGATAGTTAATTTACTTGCAATGCTTTCCATGACAAACTATTCAACAAGAAGTAATGGTTGTTTTGTGCTTTTTTTATATATCTATGGTTCTAATTCTTCACAGACTAAAGATTTTTGGAGAGAGGCTCATATTCTTTCCAAACTTCACCATCCAAATATAGTAGCATTCTATGGGGTAGTTCCTGATGGATTGGGGGGAACATTGGCAACCGTGACTGAGTACATGGCCAATGGATCATTAAGGCATGTCCTCTTAAGGAAAGATCGGTGAGTTGGTTTGTTCACATTTCTTTTCAGCTGCACTTTTGAAAAGTTCGGTTCATGAAGTGAAAAATTCTATTACAGGGCTCTTGATCGTCGTAAAAAAGTTATAATTGCACTAGACGCTGCTTTTGGCATGGAGTACTTGCATTTGAAAAATATTGTTCACTTTGATTTAAAATGTGACAACTTGCTAGTCAACTTGGGAGATCCGCAACGGCCAGTGTGCAAGGTAATTTCCAGACAGATATTATTCTAAGAAAGGGTTTCTTAGGATTACATAAAACCGAGAGCAAGATTTCTTCATTTCTTCTAATGTACAATTTCTGGTTCTTTTTTGGAGCTTTACAAATTAAATATGAAAGGTTTCCAATTCATATTGATACATATGGTCTTTCAAACTTTTCATTCAGGTGGGTGATTTTGGGCTTTCAAGAATCAAAAGAAATACTCTAGTTTCTGGTGGTGTACGGGGAACGCTTCCATGGATGGCTCCAGAGCTATTGAACGGAAGCAGTAGTCGGGTTTCTGAAAAAGTTAGAATTCTATTTCTTTCTTTTTGTAATTTAGATCTCTATATCACCATATGTTTGTTGTCTTGAAAAATGAAATGATGACTACTTCACTTCATTTTTATTTCTTTTTTCCTAATCATAATATTTGGCAGGTTGATGTTTTCTCATTTGGCATTTCCATGTGGGAGATTTGGACTGGAGAGGAGCCATATGCAGATATGCACTGTGGTGCCATCATAGGTAAGCTTTTGATTAATAGTCTTTCAATTTATTATATGAAACTGGAGATGTGGCTAATAGAAGTTATAGGAGCTGTACGTATTTTTTTACAACATTGCAAATAGTTCACATTGAATGGAGTCACGTGTTTGCCAGTCTATATGACTGAAGACTAATTTCGATATATATGGACCATGGACCTCACTAGGAATTATATTTAATTTGAACTTGCTTCATCCCGTGTACGTTATTGTATATCCTTATTCATGGGATTAATACCTATGTAAGGGAGTAGAGTTACTGTACTGAGATCTTCATAGTATGCTTAACATGCTTATATGACTTGATCTTCCTCTCAGGAAAGCTTGGTTCTTCTGACAATAGAAGTTCATAAATGAATTCCTGCCTGTTATTTGTTATATTTTCTTTACTGAATAACGATTCATAAAGTTGTCCATTACGTACTTTAGTAGAAACCTACATCTCAGAAAATGGAAAGCCTGAAGCAATCAAATTGCTGTACATCTTCATACTAGGAAAATATTTTCTGGAGACTTTCTACTGTGCTGAAATTACTTATTCGAATTTTTGATTAATAATTAGTAAAAGTTGAATTGAAATATAGGTATCCCCTTGAAAAATTAAATAAACCACTGTTGACAATTGACATGGTATCACATGGTTTTGCGATGCATAATCTCTAAAAGGTTGGAGAGTCAAAACTCAAAGTTGAGAAGCAAATTGCCAGTTAAAGACGTTACAGGATACATAATATTTAATTTCTCTTTTAAGAGGCAATACATAATGTGACAATGAGAGACAGATGAAGAGTGAGTGAGTAAGAACTGCAGAGAGAATAATTTCACTCAGTATGATATCTACTCTCTACATTATTTTTAAGTCCTACTCCTCCTATTTATATGTTAAATTCATATAAAGATTGGGAAGTTACAAATAAAATAAAAATGAGGATGGCATTCCATCACATGCTTTATCATTTCTCCGCTTCTGAGAAGAACTCTACTGGACTAGTAATCTAGAAGGATCTGTCCAAGAAGGATTGTGTTTTCTTTAAACCAAGTCTTGACACTAAGCACACTAATTGACAAAACATCATTCTGATCGTCTAAGACATCTATAATAACATTATATTTGTTAAGAATTATAAATCATAATTCTATCCCACCAAAAGCAATCAATTTGAAGAAAGAAAATAAACATTCAAGAACATATAAGATTTATAGAGGTTTGTCTCAATGTGAGAATACGTCCTCTCTGGGCGCTGCAGTAATTCACTATGATGGAAAAAAAGGTTTACAAGTGAAAATATCATTCATATTTCCTCTAACGTCTCTTTCTCTCTATTTGATAATAATACATAAAGCCAAAGGACTAATCCGCGACGAGCTCCGTGAAGTGGCAATAATTAGGCTTCATAACTTAACAATATTTTTCAACAGAGCAGAAAGAACATGTGGAATTGTCTGTCACTCTGTTAAATAGGGAAGGGTGGTGTAGGCAAGTGACTTACTCATGAGCCCATATGACCAATGTCTGTCAAGAGGATTTGTATGTCTAAAAGCGTTCCTGTTCGTGACTTTATTAATCAGGAAAAGTAGTGTAGGAAACAGACCTGGTTGTGAGCCCATATGACTAATGTTTAAAAAGGGCTAAGTTATTGAAGCAAGGCATAGACCTTGAGGCTTTTTGAGGATAAGCCTGAAGACAAACCAAAAAAATAATTCTAAAGAATATATAAAAATAAAAATGTGCTCATAATAAATCGTAAACCATCTTAGAAAATTCTATAATAAAAGACCTTTTGTTTTAACAAACCATACCTTATGCAAAGCAATTATGTATTAGGCTCTGAAACCAATTAATGTATAACAAGGGACGAGGAGAGAGAGAACTGTGGAAATTATAATTCAATATTATTTAATATCAACTTAGGACCCATTTGGCATGTCGTCTGTTTTTTGCTTCGACTTCTTGTAGAAGATCTTCATGAGAAAGTTACTATGGGCTGACTTCTTCTAAAAGCTTATAGCAAGAGAAAGCACTTTCAAAAAATTATCCAAATAGGTTCAAAATCAGCTCCTTCATTTCAAAAATTGTTTTTGATTTTTCAAAAGCCTTACCAAATGGACTTTTAGTTGCCTATGTGATGGAAAACTGCTACCCCTATTTATACCAAGAAGTTCAATCAAACTTGGAAAGTTACAAAAGTAGCAAAATTTAAAAAATTTCTAAAACCAAATAATTATAGATTTTAATAAAATAAATTACAATGAAATAAATCATAATCTTTCTCAATTCTACTCCCTAAAATAAGCGTATTCTTTTGGTTCATTTCCAATGCAAGTTATATTCCATGCTCCATTGAGAGGTGTGCATTTTTTTGAGTAAAGATTGACCATATGTGTGTATTTTGAAAAGATGATGCGGAACGATATTTAACTGGTTTGAGCATTATCATGAATTTCAAAATGTATGAAGGATTCAGCACCGACATAACCAAAATATCTTCGTTGACATTTAGATGAATAATCAGCGGCATACTTCTGTTGTTCTACCTTGTAAGCTAGGCATGTTCCAAAATCAGTTTAGTTAAATTAGAAGGGTACATATGGCTATTCAAGCTCATAGTTTCCAGGGTACATGATCAGTTTTGTAATCCTTGCCATTGTACTTATTGAAAGGTCCGAATGATCAACTGTCAAAATGCTTGTTTAAATTTTAAACTCCATTAGACCTCTGTCTCATAGAAAAACATGCATGTGCCATGCAATAACAAACTCACTATAATATGTATTCAAAGAGGCAGTATAATTGTGTATCCTTGTGACATGCATTTTGTGAATCATGATTACCATCTATTTCCTTTCCTCGATTTTCCACTGCACAAATTTGACATGCTCATTGGAAATTGACAATTTTATTGGGTGCTTTGTGAAGGTGGGATTGTAAATAACACATTAAGGCCACCTATCCCAGGACCTTGTGATTCGGAGTGGAGAAAGTTGATGGAAGAGTGCTGGTCACACGATCCAGCAGCAAGGCCATCATTCACAGAGATCACAAACAGGCTGCGAAATATGTCTGTGGCACTCCAATCAAAGAGATACAATAGAGTAAAAAGATGAGATTCTACACATCTATGCAAGTCAATAGAACAAATTTCCTAGTGGAGAAGAAAAGGAAAAAACAAATATTACTCCAGCCCTTGTTTCTGATAATAAGTAAATATTGCTCAATTCGTGTAAATTATCTGTGGATAGAAATCATTTTTCCTACTTCTCAAAATTACATTTATTCAATTATTTCCCTTTGCCAGGATGTGAAATGAGATGGATATCATAGCATAATCTTTCTGTTTCAAAAGCTATGTTTAATTGACTACAATGTGAAACGTTGGCGAGAGATACTCTCAAATATTAGATGCTTTCTTAGCCCGTGTTTTTGGTCATTATCATGTAAAAATGATGTTTTGAATAGTGAGTTTTTGGAGAATGTGATTAAAAAGTGAGGAAAAGTTTTGGATTTACATGCAAAATATTTTATTATGTGAATATATTGTTGAAATTGAGTATGAGAGATAAATTGTTTAACGGAGATCAAAACAGGGGCTTAATGTACTATTTTGTACTATTTAGAAAGGTGTTCTTGTTATTTTGTTTCTTGAAAGGGAAATAAAGTGGCACGTTTTCTAGCTTCCTAGCTACAATTTCCCCGGTCAAAGGGATTAAGGTGATCGTATTTTCTTTATTTTCTCTATTTCGAGATGATGTTAATGATACAATCCATTTCGAATCACCTTAGTAGAAATGTGACATACGTCGATGATAAATGTTGACTAAATGTCAAATTCACCACCAAAACTGATTATGGGTTACCACTAAATAAGATACTTTTAAAAAAATAATGCAATGGCCCAAAATGATTACTTCGTGCTCTATCAAAATGAATTCATTATATTGGGTGGCTATCACTTTGAAATCATCAAGCTCCTCCAATTATAAACAACCAATTACAACTTGTAAGGAAAATTGTGAGAAAATATATGAATTGCTAGCTTAATGAATGGAAAAGTTCGAAAATAATTATACTTTCTCAATTATAAAATTTATTTATTTATTTATTTATTTTTAAAATTGAATGCATGTCATAATCAAGATGTGAGACACCACAACGTTGAAAAATATTATCTCTCAATCATGATATAATCCATTAACTTAAATCCATATCATCATCTCGTCATATTACATGTAATCCAGAAAAAATGTACCCTCTAACTGAAATTTGTGATCCGTCCCTCAGACTAAACACTTTCACCACGGGCCTTTGGTCTCCTTCGTGAACGAAAGCGGGTTTTCTGATAATTAATTTTAGAAAACGGTCAAGACCCTTCTATGAACTATATGTATACGATCAAGATCCCTCTATGTAGTATAGAATACGACCAAGACTCTTCTGTGAATTAAAAGAAGTATATAATCATGGGTACTTTTCTAGTTGATATCAACATTATACGTCTAACATTCCAATTCATAATTAATCCATATATGATCATTAGATTCCATATATATCACAGTGAGAGAACCTCCACCCCCCACCCCCACAAAAGAAAAAAAAAAGAAAAAGGAAAAATGACAATTCTCTTCTAAGTTAATGGATAACTATGGAGTAATTGCAAGTCAAGTCTCCAATCCTCATATTTCTAGCCCTTTAAGCTTTAGTAATCACAAATTAATCCCCATGACAATCATTTGTTCAAGTTAGGTACTTATTTGACTTTAGTTTGACCAAATAATTTCTTGACCTTGACTATAAATTGGTGGGGTGTAACAGTTAAATAATAATATTCATTGATGTAGAGAGAGAGATGGTTAACGTTTCTCCATGATAGGAGTTCTTAACTAGATTTGAAAGCGTGTATAGTAACTAAAAAACATTAGGATAACAAAAAGTAAATAGAGTTAACATGGAGAAGATATAAACATACAAATCATTATCTGCATCACCTATAGATGATGAGATGAATTGTTTAAACCTTCCTACTGAAGCCAAAAATAACGATAATAATAATTAGACAAATACAAAGTAGTGACTCATAACTTGCCTTGGCAATAAGAAATTCGAGCACGAGGCTTTCCTTGAGCATTTGGAGGTCTTTTAAGCTGGTCTCATATAAATGAGAACTTACAAGTTGCATCAACAATAAGCATTGATCAATATGACCTTTGAATTGTTATAAAAGGTCTTTTTTGATGACGGAGAGCTTATTGAGTTGGAGTCGAGTGAAGGGATTGGCTAGGGGGTAAGTAAGGTTGGGGGAATAAAGATTTAAATTTTCTTCTTTAAATTGTGTGGAAAAAAACGTGTTTCTTAAAACACTATTACTTAAGTTACAAACCGTTTCTACTCTTTACCACTTGTCTGGACAGCTGGCTTGTGTTGATTGGTCATTTTTGGTTCACTAGAGTTATGCTTCTTTGGGGATAATCTGGACCATTGATGAGATCCAATGGTTGAGAATTATGGAGAAAGAGGTCTCTGGTTTTTCATTCATTCTGATTTTTTCTTCTCTCTCTTGAGTCAAGGGATTTCTCTCTTTCTCTAGAAGCCTCTGTTCGTCTTCTCTAAGATTTGTAATCTTGATCTATTTTGATAATCCAGTTGTGTGATTAAGGTTTGATAAGAACCTGTTGTGCAGTGTTTTAGGCTTGAAAAGTAGCCGGTAAATCTGCACTTGTATTGTCTCGAAGGTTCTTGTTGTCAAAATCGGCTATGTTGGTTATTTGCGAGATCTGAGTGGATCGATAATCAACTTAGATTACTGATTGGGTTAAATCTCAAATTGTAAACTCTCTTTTGAAGGTTTTTTGCATTAGTGACGGGCTACCTCTGAGCCGTCCCCCCCCCCCCCCCCCCTCGATTAGGCAATTTGCTAAACTGAGTGAACAGTTTTCTCGTGTTCATTTACGTTTCATGGTTGTTTGAATCAAAGGGTTAAAATCCCAACAAATTGTTTAAATGGGATTCTTTTATACTTTTTGAAAAAATTGGGACTATAGCTGCATATTTTCTTCTTCTTCTTTTCTTTTATTTTTGTTTATTCGAAGAGTACGGTAAATTCATCATTTTACAGAGCTTTATGGAGAAAAAGGATGAAAATATTGTATTTGGCAAGGTTTGGATGATTTATGGGGTTTTGTGCTAAAATAAAAGGATTTGAGTATTGGACAATACAAGTAGAAGTTAGAGGTATTGCACTAGTTGCCCTAACTTAATTGAATTAATAGTTGAGAATTTAAAAGTAAGAAAATAAAGGGAACATTGTTCATTCGTTGTAATGAGTTGGAGATGATTAAATAACATGGTGTTAAAGTTACACTATTTTGATGGAATAGGTTGAAGATTTTCTTACTTTAGACATTTCTTTGGGTAGCCCAACAAATCTTCATTTCTAGTGGCTGTTTTGCTCAATATTTTGGTATGAATCATTGAAAAATAGTTGGAAGGTAGTGTCAAGTTGCCAAAATATGTTCAATTTCCATTAACCATTTTCATGGCCAATCTCGCAGACGGAAAATTCCAACCATCTCCTATTCATTGAAGCATCATTGCATATGGGAACACACCATTAGAAACAAAGGCCACAAGATTAGAAAAAGGTGTGACGATCATCTAGTAATCAAGTCAATTGTTTGAAAAATTACAATGACTGCAAGAGAGAGGTATTTGAGGAATTGGCTAGGGTTTGAGCAAGGCTTGGGAGATCAAACGGAGAGAGGAAAGGGCCAAGTTGAGGCCATTGAACTAGGCAAAAGTCTAATGAAAAAAAATTGTTTAATTTGATCCGATCAAATCCAACTGACATTATCGATATTCAATCAGATAATGTGTGATTCCCTTCTGGATCTAATAATTTGCATGAGATGTGGTGGACATGAACAACTTGTAGGAGACTAATTATAGTCATTGGAAGTTCATGTTAGAGTCTTAGACTAATAGACTCATCTCCAAATGGTATTACATTTGTTAAATATATATTAATAAATTTAGATAAAATTGATGAAAATTGTGGTTAAAAAATTGATAAAAAAATGTGGATCCTATAAAATATGTGATTGAAAATGAGTTTAAAAAAAATAAATTCTTCAAATTAGGACTAAACAATAGCTAAGCCCTGTTTGATTTAGCTCAAGAATAGATTTTTAAAAACTTTTGATAAAAGTTGACGTGTAATTGAGAAGTTCATAAAAATTATATATCCCATTAAATGTGTGATTTAAGATAAATTTGAAAAAAAAAAAAAAAGAATTACAAAACGGTTGTCAAACGGAACTAAGCTCTGTTTGTCTACCATTAAGTAAAAAATTGAGTTTTGGAAAGTGAATATGTGGCAAACATGTGGGTAAAAAGTAGAATTTTTTTTTTTTAAATTTTATGTACAAAATGTATTATTGCAAAGTATGTGGTTGAAAATGAGTTTGAAAAAGAGAAAAGAAAAAAGAGTTTTAAAATAATGGTAAACGTTTCTAGAAGGTAAATATACGCATTCGAGGGGATAGATACAATAATTTTTCAGTTGTACTACATGTATATAATGATTTACATATACAAGATGTAGTGAGATATGATTTGATAGGATTTTTTTTCAACCAAAAAATACTAATAAAAAATAAAAGTTCACTACTCCTTTTTTAACATCTCATCTATATATAATGGGAAAATTTCATATACAAGAGATTAAGTATAGGCCATTTCAAAAATAAGAAAGCAAGTATCATATTTCACCAATCAGATATTAGCCTAAAAATGAATACACATATTAAATTAATTTAAAATGGAAAACAATCCCGAAGAATTAGCTTGAGATACCGTACCAGCAGGATTCTCCATAAAAAGAAGAAATCATCTCTCAAGCTGATTCCAATAGCCAGAAGATCTGAAAATACATCCAAATTACCGTCGGCTCTCACGGAAGTGACGGTAAAACCAAAATCTAGTTACAAATTGCAGTCGTTGGGTCCTATTACGTCGGATTAAAACACGGTCCCTCGAACAGTCACTGATTACAATCATCAGGTGTGTAATTACGATTTATTCATTATAATTTGTCGTTTATTTATGCTTGACAAGTTTCGATTGATGAAAAATGTGATTTTTGACGGAACTATGATCATGAATATCGTACATCGATGTTTGAAACTGTTGTGACCGTTATGAAAAACATGTGATCGGCTATTCATAAGATGTGACCTCACGAAGTCAGTAAACATTGGTGTTTGTGTCTCGGAATGTGTGACGTGTGACATACTGT